TGGAGGTGTTATTTGTAGGGAAAAAATTGTAAAAGAATTTAAAACCTAAAAATTTCCTTCTGATCTAGGAAAGGAAGATGCTTAGCCCAAGGGATTTAGCTCTCGATGTGTTTTGGTGAAGGATCTGCYTCCTGCACAGGTCAGGACTGTGCAGTGCCTGTCCCTTGGCCGAGTGGCTCACAAGGGAGAATTCTCCTCCCCAGCCTCCTTCAGGCTCTGCTGAGCTTAGAAAGGAGCCAGGGAGCTCTTTGAAGACAAAAATATTTACAGAGAGCGCTGATCAGAGTAAAACGCTCTGAAAATGAGTCAGGTTTAGAAGCCCACGGGTGACACATTAGTTAGTCATGGCCTGATCTCCCACTCGGTTTTTTCTCCAGTCCTATCCAGCAAATGGCAATTTCCTCAGCAGCAGGAAGGTAACAAAGGTCAAGACAAGGAGCCTTGTGAGATCTTTGTGCCTGGTTCCAGAGGGAAAAGCCGAYCCAGGGGATCAGCAGCAGCTCTTGGCACCCACTGGCAGCCTTTGGGCTGAATTGTCAGCGCTTCACCCCTGGGGAGGGATTGTTCATCCCTGGGAGAGAGAGCCTGGCTGCACAACCCGCCCGGGGAGGACAGCTCTGGCACCGGGAGGGTTTGGGGAAGGGCCATTCCTCGGGAAAACTGGATGGCGATTAAAGCAGGACAGAGGCAGAGATTGCAGGCTGAACATTTGCTCGTTAGGAATATGGAATTATTGCACAGACACAGCTGCGAAAAAATCATGTGTTGTTTGAGAAATTATTAACTAAATCAGCAAAAATATTACATTTCAGCAATGTTTCTGTTAGGATATCCCACTCTACCCCTGGGGTTTGTGCTCCGGCGCAGGCGCTTTCTAAGCCCATCCCATCCTAGCAAAGCTGTGCCCCGGATTTGCTTGGTTTAGGGCTGGAAGCGGCTCTGTGTGCCCGAGGAGCCCCTCGGTTGCTCTGTCCCCGCCGCACTCACCGTCCTGACTGCAGAAGGCCGGGGCAGAGGGCTCCTGCCGGAACCGCTCGTGGTGCGGCTCGTACATCACCATGGGCACCTCCACGCGTGCCTTCTCCCCGGACATGGCTGCAGYTCCCTGCCAAAAACAGCACAAAATTCACTCTACTGCTCGTGCGCTTTATTTGCCAGCGCTTCTGTGATTCCCGGTTCTCACACTCAGAGGGAAATTAGCAGTTTTCACACTATGGTTTTTTTTTTTTTTTTTTTTTTTTTTTTTTTTGTAGGCTGAAGAACAATCAGTTCCTGCCACACTCCTTGATGAGGAAGGTGGAGAGCAGAAAATACCATCTAAACACATTTCTTTGGGCTGGGAAACTGGGAATGTTCCCCAAGAAAACACAATTCAAAGCGTGCAAACCCGTGACTGACAGTGTTACCTTTGCAGAAAAGTTAACTTCTTTTTTTTCCTATGGATTGTCAAAGTAATCAAGGAGGGCAAGGGCACCCGTGAAAAACCTTCACGTGTGATTAAGTCAGCGCAATCAGCGGCAATTCGGATCTGTCTTCCTTCGGGTTATTGTGCAACCTTATCACCATTGTTATCGCGACCGGTTYTGTCCTGTGAAACTATTGTCTCATCGGTAGGTGACAGGCTTTTGTTGGGAAACATCCTCATTACGCGTGAGTGCGCTGCCTGCGGCTCCGAGCGACATCAGGACACGAAATTCGTGTTCTCGGGTGCGAGCAGGAGCTGATCCGCGCAATGAAGGCGGTGSGAGGAGGAGGGCACCCGTGGAGATGTGTGTTTGGATCACTGTCAGCGGAAAAGTGTTCATTATTCCTCGCTGCTCCTCGAGCCAGCGTTAACTGCTTGATTTCCTGCTAAAATTTACTGTCGGATCCTTCGCGGAAGAAAACAGAGCGAGGAAGGGCGATTTTGGGGGGAGCAGAGCACAGATGTTTGTGAGGAGCTGGTAAATGGAGAAAGGTGCATCACAGKGARATTGTTATAAAGGAGCTAAACCAGGTAATCGAGAATGTGGGAATGTCAGAGGTGTTAACGGGCCGTTGTTGGAGYTTCGTGAGGATTTCACTGAGAACAAAAAAATTCCTCTCCTGTCCAGAGCAGGA